GAAATGATGACCCATACAATGGACTCCGAACTAGATGCGTTCCTCTAAGTCTTCCTGCCAATATGACCAAGTTGGGAAAACAAGGTCAAACAATTTCTATGTTAATATAGGCTTGCCAATAACATCGACAACATATCCATATATACTAAATAAGTAGATACTGTATCAGATTCTTGGTAAATACCTACAGATGGTTTTAATATATGCATAAATGGTACGTAGTGACTTTGACGATCATAACACAGAATATACGCCTTCCCCATACGTGCTAGTCTCTCCAGGCGAATTGGGGTCAGAAAGGCTATGACTCGACTTGAAGTTCACTTTTTCACGGATGCTGTCTCGTGGGGTGATAATCTTGCCGATTGGATTGCACGAATTCGTGTTGATGGCATCAAAGTGAGTGGGAAAGTGCAATCCCATGTGGATGAGAAGGCCTTTTGGAGGAAAAGGCCAAGTTAATTTCAATTGAACCAACAGTCCTTGCATAACTTTAAACTAATGAATTCGCCACAGATTTCTCTTTAAAATTTAGTGCTATTTTCAGAAGCTACTCATTTGCAGTATAGAAAACTGTCGTCATGACTGTAAAGCGTTTTGCCGGCTCAAAAAAGAAATTAAACAAATCTCTACCTGCGTCTACCTGCACTGGAGTCAGCAGGTCAGTGCCGTTCAACACACCCAAACTAAGGTAGGCCAGACCGCAGGAGGTACCAAAGCTAAAGGGTACGATGAACCAGACCAGTGCTCCGAAGATTAGTCCGAAAACTGTCTGGCCTGGCTTGGCGATCGCAGTCATCTGCCAGTAGGCCTGGTCGATAAAAATGGCTCCTGTGCTGCCTGTTATGTTGCCAGGAGTAGGCAGTGGTTGGTAAATGGAAGAATGTGGTGAATAGGAATTTTGACTTTCCCAAAATAAAAATAAATGTCCTCATTCACATGTGAAGAGAGATGAACTTCCGGATAGGCTTAAATGGTTGCATAGAAGATGTGAATACAAAGATGGTCTGGCCCTCGTTATGGTAGCACAGAAGTGGGTTGATCTCGTTTTCGCGAATTGGTCTTGTGGTCATGGAGACTTAGTTGGACACACCTTGTCCATAGTCCTCTGCTATAGTAGTTATCATAATTCCCAGCATCCGACCGTGTTGTAGATTGATTTCACTCATCTTTTCGACCAGTTGTCACTGATTTTGCCAACTATAATGCCCGCGAAACATCTGAGAATGTACCAGGTCTATGGTCGGATGCTGAAAATTATGATGATTATAATGACAGAGGACTCCGGGCAAGGTGCGTCTAACTAAAGCGCCCTAACAACAAAAACAAGTTGTGAAAACGAGGTTAACCCATTTCTTAACTGGTTGTAGTACATAAACTTTTCCTCCTTTTAAGGCAGGTTATGAATCAAGAAAGCCAGGTGAATGTCGGCTGGAGTTGGAAGATATAATATGATACTAAATGAAACCTGCCCTTATTAATATAAATCGGGTTTTTGATAAATGGGCACAAATTATTATTGAGATTTTCGCCCTAGCAACCAATCTAAACATACTTGAAAGTTATATTCCCAGAGCCGGATTAGCAATGCCTGTGCAAATTTGAGCTTAAATATTTATTATCCGGCTTGGAGATAAACGTGAGCTCTTCACCGAAGAAACATCCTGCTTAGATCATATCATTTTGAGAGGGAGAAAGTTCATTTCTATACGACTGTAACAACTGTCATTGCTAGCAATTTATCTGGAGAAACCAGTCTTTGCAATATCCATATCAGCTTTATCCCAAAATGTTCTGTATTCTAGGATGCGTAACGTTTTCTGTCAACTAATCAAGTACACAGTCCCCTTTACTAGAAATGATGGGTAAGAGAGAATCGACGATAATTGGAAAAACGCCTAAAAAGATAGCCTTGAATGCAACACATCAAGCAAGAGGTAATGGCAAGGGTATATCAAGGTGTAGTAACTAAGTCTAAAATTCATTTAGGCGATTCTTTCCCATCCACTTGGACTAAAATCGCAGTTCACTAAACACACTGAATGCCGCCCCGGCTGCAGAAAGAATGTGGACCTCTCGAAAAATTGGTCAACTGAGTCAAAGTGTTCGGTGTTATTTGTTGCCTAAGGAATACCTTTAATTTAGAATATAGAAATGTCATGCAGTTAAATATATTTTTATACAGCATAAGATAATATAATAGC